AAAAAAAAAAAAAAAAAAAAAAAAAAGGGTTGTAACTTCCCACAACTTTCCAGCTAAAAGTTCTAACAGCGTGAAGGTTGCCCTTTCATGTCTTTTATCGACTTTTCTAATGTTTTTTGAACTTTTTTTGGTCTTTTTCAAGTTTTTGAAGTCCCCCGACTTCCCACTACATTTCCCAGCTACTTTGTTCTTTCTGACATGGCGGTTAATTTGCCGCATCAAGCGGGTCTCTCGTCCTACCAAACTGGCTTGGCGGCCCCAGCCAACAAAACACAAAAACTGTGCTCCCGCCGGTTTGTTCTTTTTTGGCCTGCGGCAGCCATCAAAAAAAAAAAAAAAAAAGGTTGGTAAAAAGAAGCCTCGGATGTGGTGGTGGTGGTTTGAACCGCCAGTACACGGCCCCAGTCTCGTAGAAAGTCGCGAGTTCCCGACTGCAAAATTTCCACGGCTCGGGGCTAGCAGACCACAACAGCTGGCAGCGCCAGCCAAAAAAGAGAAGTGCGCCGCTGGTGATTCGGAAAAGCTTGGCGCACAGTGCACACCGTCTCCAGGCCCGGTTGCACTGATGGTTCACAGAACACAATGATGGAGCAGCTTTTTGAAAACATGTTGAAACTCTGGAGAAAGTTGAGATGGAATAAAGTTCATAAACGGGCATATAATTATTTATTTTTTTTTATTTTTTTTAAACACACGCCCCTTGCAGTGCTAGTGGTGCTGATGAAGCAGACACCACTAGCAGGGTGGGGCTCCATCTATTGGTGGGGAGCATCACCTGCTGGAAAACGGGTCCAGCGTCCCATATACAGAAACGGGCATATAATAATATGGTGATGAGAAGAAGCAAGAATGGATAGAAGAATCTGGAACTGGAACTGGAACTGGAACTGGAACAGGAACTGGAACTGGAACTGGAACTGGAACAGGACCTGGAACTGGAACTGGAACTGGAACTGAAAAGGTTCAAAATTGAGAAGCCTTAACATGATTGAGCAGTTAAAAAAGTTGAGTTCAAGATGTATTCAAGCTAATAACGTCGAGGATTGTGTTCTCATTCTTGGGATTTTGCGGCCTTTTTTTTGTTTGAAAAAGCCAAGTTCCAATGCGAGGGAAAGGAAGGACAGAGGCACTTCAGAGTCCTTCTCTATCTCCTGGGGCCAAATCCCACTAGCAGCGTTGAGTTTCCTCAACACCTGAATCTGGGCGTGTTTGAGGAGATTTGCAGAAATGGCGTTGAGTTTCCTCAACGGCGCATCCCCACAAACACGTCCAGATTCAGGCATTGAGGAAACTCAACGCTGCTAGTGGGACCTGACCCCTGGTTAGTTTTCCAGAGATTTTGTAGGTGCATTATTTTCTGACCACTGTACTGTTATACGCCCCACGGCCCAAACAATGCTGCGTGAGCAGTGCAAGCTCCATTCAAGCTCTCCATTCAGGTGAAGAATGCTGTGCAGCTCAAAGGCTTAAGTTCTAAATGCTGAACAATGAGTGAGGAGTTCCACAGGTTTTGCAGATGGAGTTTTGTGTGACTAGTGTCCTGCTGTTATTTAGTCCATAACCTGACTGCTAACCCTTGTATACCACATTCCATGTCCCAAACCCTAAGCCCCAAACCCTGAGCCCCCCGCTAGACCTGGAGCTGTGGTACTGCTTTGGAAGTCTTAAACCACCAGTACATGGGCACCTGGGTCGCGGGTCTGACACCTCAAATTCTGGAGGCGCGAAACGAAAATGGGGCCGCCGATCGAATTGATCAACGGCGGGCCCAGCGTTTGACGTTTCGGCCTCTCGTTTTTTTTCTTGTAGCGACGAGTTTCCAACTGCAAGGCTGGGGCCGTCGTGTACTTGTGGTTTTTAATCTTTAAAGCACCTGGTCCAGTTCATGGGCCCAGCCAAGTTGAGGGTCCGATTGAGGCTCTCCTAAATTTTTGGAGGCAATAAAATAAATCAGTGGGGGGTGGCAGGCTCCGAAAGGAGCCCCACAGCCAATAGTTGGCATGTGCGAGCACAAGGCCTCAGTCAAGTTGAGAAAACGATTGAGCGCGTCGCACTACAATTTTGGAGGTTCGCGCGCTGTCGATAAAATAAATCGGTGGCGGGTGGCCTCCGAAAGGGACCCGCGGCCAATAACTGGCATGTACTGGTGGTTCAAGGCAACATTGTTATTATCAAGATTCAGTTAATTGAACGCTGCAGCTTTTTTTTTTTTGTGTATGTTGAAGATTTTCATTTGTTTGCATTATTAGATGGCCAACCACTTGACCCTTGCCCGCGACCAAAAAAAAAAAAAAAAAAAAAAAAAAAAAAAAAAAAAAA